CTACAAAGTAAGTTGAGGAGCTCTTCACAAAAAAATCCTACCTCGTTGCTAAAATATAATCTTCTTCTTCTTTAAATACATCACAAAACTCATAAATTATTATCTAAACCAAAAACTTGCCTATAAAAGATTTATATGAATATATCTCAGCTTACTGCTGACTTGCAATACTTATGCTAAAAAATATTCAAATACCTTTGTATCCTGAAGATTGCATGTGTTTAAAGAATTTGTTTGCATATATGTGCTCTGTGGAAGAAGACTTTCAGAATATATTCCTCATTGATGCTTCAAAGGTGCTTGTGTCTCACAGTCTTTTTTTTTTTAACCATTTCTCTTCATACTTATCAGTCACATTTTTTCTGCTTTGTATAGACTGAAGTTAAGTTTCTGTTTGCCAACTCAAAAATTATATCTGCAGTCACCCCTTCAGTAAACCTTCTCAACAAGTAAATGTGGGATCACTAGAGTGTAAAATGAAAAGAAACAAATGAGGACCACAAGCATGTATTTACTAAATATTTGAAAAAAAGAATTCAAATTGTTTATGGCTGACTTCACCACCTAGTTATGACACTAACACTGTCCTCTCACTCTGTGACTTCCCTGGCTAATTCTGTTTGTTAAGAATTTTTTTTTTTTTTTTTTTTAATGGTCATCTCTGGAGGAATGGATGCCCAGGAACACCTACCTCTGTATTGTCTTCAGAGCTACCTAGAAGCTGTCAGCTGACTTCCACTATAACAACATTACCTAGGGTCCTCAGTTCCCTGTGAAGAAAGAGAATTCCCCTGGTAAGACACTAGCTGTGATTTGCTGTAGGAAACAGAGAACACTTCATGCAAAGCTAATCTAGATTAGATTCAGTTTAACAAATTGGGACTTGTAGAGTTTTTGTTGAATATAGAAATAGGTTCATTTTAAGTTAATCTCTACTCTGTTGCTTGAAAGAATGACCTGGGGTGAAAGAGCAGTTTGTATGGTGTTACTGGCCAGTGGAAAAAAGCTAAGACCTCTGAATCTGTGATACACTTTTATCCACTGTCCCTGTGTTAGAACAAGTAGTAACTCTGGACATGAGCCAGCAATGTGCAGTGGCAGCCCCGAAGGCCAACCGTACTCTGGGCTGCATCAAGAGAAGCATGGCCAGCAGGTCAAGGGAGGTGATTCTGCCCCTCTACTCTGCTCTGGTGAGGCCTCACCTGGAATACTCCATCCACCTCTGGAGCCCTCAGCACAAGAAGGACATGGAACTGTTGGAGCGGGTCCAGAGGAGGGCTACTAAAATGATCTGAGGGCTGGAGCACCTCTCCTATGAGGACAGGCTGAGGGAGTTGGGCTTGTTCAGCCTGGAGAAGAGAAGGCTGTGGGGAGACCTGATTGCAGCCTTTCAGTACTTAAAGGGGGCCTATAGGAAAGATGGGGAAAATCTTTTTAGTAGGGCCAGCTGGGTTAGGACAAGGGGTAATGGTTTTAAACTAAAACAGGGTAGGTTTAGACTAGATATAAGGAAGAA